CTTCAGGAGCTTGACAGAGGGGTCTTTAGAGGTGCAGTCGATGGTGTACAGGGAGAAGAGCAGTGGGGAGAGGACGTAACCTTGAGGGGCACCAGTGTTGGTGGAGCGGCTGTTTGACATGAATCTCCCCAGTCTCACTAGCTGCTGCCTATCTGTCAGAAAGCTGGTGATCCACTTTTTCCATCCATCTTTTCCATCTTAAAATACATTTTGGGTAAATGTAAAATGTATTTATTTTTGTAAATACTAAAAAAAAAATTTTTTTAAAATGGACTTTTACCACAGACTTTCACTGTAATTTAAAATTATTTTATTTTAGAAATTTTATTTAAATAACTAAATACATTTTTTACAACAAAAAACATCATTTATTTAATTATGTAAATGCTTGGTGTTTCATTTCTTATTCCTTTTATTTCCATGTGCTCTTATTTTTTTTCTCCATCCATAAAAATGTAAATCTTTTAAGTAAATATGTGTCTTTGAAGCACTTCGTAAACACTATTTTAAAAGCTGTATACAGTTTTTTGTCTTTTGTAATTAATAGCATGCCATAGATTTGGTCAACTTTAGAACATTCATTTACTACTTTTGCATTTCCTGAAGAAATTTCGTAAAAAAAATAAGTTGATAAAATCCAAAAGCATAAGACTAAGCTTCAATGGAGTCTGTACGTCACATGAAATAATTGCAGAAAAGTGGTGAGAAAAAGAAAAAAAGTGACAGACTTCAATCCACTGCTTGCCTCGTAATCACCATAATTAAAGTAATTTTCCTTTCATTCAAACTGTGAAGGAATCAGAGGTCAGTCACCTAGCGTTGGCCACACACTCCATGGTGACCTCAGAGGTGCCGGAGATGACACTAGTGTTCCTTGGTGGGATGACAATGGTGGGAGCGATGGGGTCTGCAGGACCACCAACATCTACAGCAGAAGAGAAATGTGAGAATGAGAAAACGATGAGAGCTTGAGTAAGTGTGTTATGACACACAGGTAAAGGACATTATCGAGTGAGTGTTTTTAATAGAACTCCGATCTGTCATCTTCAGGTGTGAGTGTGTCCAGATGTAGTAAGTGCCAGCCGATATACTGTACGTGTTACAGCAAGTATGACAGGTTTGTGTTTGGAAGAGGAACTTATATATCTGCTCTCATGGCAGTTATGTGTGTGTGTGTGGAGGTCTGTCAGAGACAGTCTCTGTAAAGCACTGATATTCAACTACAGCTTCTTGGAAGGACTGGCCTCTACACACACACACACACACACACACACACACACACACGATCTCTAATCTTCTCACTGTCTCTGCACCATTCTTTAGTTCCTCCTGTATTAGACTCAAAAATATCATATCCTGGTTTGGTGGGAGACTCTGATATACTGAAACTCTTATAAAGTACAATCCATAACTGTCAATATGCTCGCTGTGGAAGCTGCGAGAGTGAAACAAAGCACTGTCACAGACAGAAAGCAAATGTGACCCTGGACCACAAAACCAGTCTTAAGTCACTGGGGTATATTTTTAGCAATAGCCAAAAATACATTGTACAGGTCAAAATTATCGATTTTTCTTTTATGCCAAAAATCATTAGTATATTAAGTAATGATCATGTTCCATGAAGATATTTTGTATAATATATCAAAACTTCATTTTTGATTAGTAATATGCATTGCTAAGAACTTAATTTGGACAACTTTAAAGGTGATTTTCTCAATATTTAGATTTTTTTGTGACCCTGGACCACAAAACCAGTCTTAAGTCACTGGGGTATATTTTTAGCAATAGCCAAAAATACATTGTACAGGTCAAAATTATCGATTTTTCTTTTATGCCAAAAATCATTAGTATATTAAGTAATGATCATGTTCCATGAAGATATTTTGTATAATATATCAAAACTTCATTTTTGATTAGTAATATGCATTGTTAAGAACTTAATTTGGACAACTTTAAAGGTGATTTTCTCAATATTTAGATTTTTTTTTGCACCCTCAGATTCCAGATTTTCAAATAGTTGTATCTCAGCCAAATATTGCCCTATCCTAACAAACCATACATCAATGGAAAGCTTATTTATTCTATATTTCGAAAAATTGACCCTTATGACTGGTTTTGTGGTCCAGGGTAACAAATATGTATTTGTCTATGTTGTTCACAGGTTTATATGTTCATATAAACAGCATGTTGTCTAAAATAGAAAGGCAAGATTCAAAACTTTGTCATATTTACAGGGGTACTTCCATTCTTTCACATATGAACATGGGGAAATGAGAACAGAAATATATGCATATGTATTTGTTCTTTCACTGTACTAAGTGTCACAGTATTAAAAGTAATAAATAAATAAATACATTTATTGGAATATTAGCATCAAATTGTTAATATGTATTTTTTTTTATTTATTTAAAAAAATTATTTGTTACATTATTTTTTGAAAAAAGTACAACCTTAACCTGAAATATCGATAAAATGTATATATTTTCATCGCAGATATGAACTAGCAATATATCCATTCAAACTTTCAAACTGTTTTAGTTTTTAGTGGGTTGTAGTGCTTTTTTATATAAATAAATGTGTTCATAAAAAAATAAAAAGTGTGTGTGTGTGTGTGTGTGTGTGTGTTTATTTATTTTACTTCTTTATTTATTTTATAAACAAATTTAGAACCTACTAAAAACTAAAACAGTTATTTTATAAAATTATTTTCTAATCAAATTTTTTAAATAAACAGATTTTAATAAACCAATATTTTCAAAAACAAAAGAGTGTATTGGCAATAACATGAAAATTATTGGTCAGAATTTTTATGTATGCAAATCCCTAGTTTTAATACAGTAGCTGGCATCTGTAATATAATATAATTAATTTTAGCCCACATGAGGAAGTCCAAGCACATCTTCTAAATCTCTACAGACTTACTTTCCACTGACAGTGTTATGGGCTGGCCAGTCTTGTTTTCACCATTCTTGTCATTTACAGCTTGTACGTAGTATCTTCCAGCATCTGGGGCCACGGTGGACAGGATGACCAGTGTATTGTCCAGAGTAATGGCTCTGTGAGAAAACAACAAGCAGAATCATGGTCAAAAATCTCCCACTGTCAGACATCACACTCAAGCACTGATTTATAACGCTGCATCTGTAATATCACCACAAACTACACACCAAATGTTTCAGAGCCACTGTGGAGTACTAATTCACTGCCATCTCATTATGCCTATTCATATACACAAAGAATAATGTCTTTAAAAACATGACAGAATTCAGAATGTTTCTTTTTTAGTTGTTTTTCCCCCCTCAGTCATTGACACAGAGACTCATTCAGACATATTGAACAAAGAAACTTAATTTCTCCATCTGTCATTTCCACTCCAGATCAACAACTGCATGAAATGTCATTGCTCCATAAATATCACATAAACCACTTCTGGCAACATGCAACAGCAGCTGCTATGATGGAAGATTTTTTCCCCCCATAAAACAGAAATACTACTACCATTATCCATTTTATAGCCGTTTTCCATCATTTAATTAAGCCCTTATTAAATTCAAGTATTTTGAAATATATGCTAAATAAAAGACTTGACATGAACATGGTATATATATATATATATATATATATATATATATATATATATATATATATATATATGATGACAATGTGAAATCCCAAGTTTACAGCAATATGTGTAATTGCATAGACCTAAACAACCATCAATCACTTAATTAACCCACGCATTGAGTTCCTCAATGAGGTTAAAATTTATATTAAATGCACCAGTTCAGCTAGGATCTGGAGGTACTTGCATTCCCTGTGTCCGGGGTTCTTTTTTCTTGTCTTCCTTGCAGAAAATGGGGTTTCCCACGGTTACTGATTGGCTGGAAGTTCAGTCCTGGGACGCGGAGTTGTGGTTGAAGTTGAAGTTTTAGACGGCACTCGAGGTCGGACTTGGAGACACGGCGTTAGGCAAAACTTAACTCAGAACACGAAACTCTCAACAGAAAAGAAAATAAACTAAAGTAAAGAAATAGAAGTAAAGTTTGACGAGACTAGGTGGCATTTCTCCTCATGGTTTTGGAGGAGCTGGCGTGTAAGCCAGAGCACGCTCAAACAGCTAAAAAGGCATGACTAAAAAGCATAGCTCAAAGCTATGACTAAAAAGCCGCATGGCTAAAAGAAAAGTAAAAGCTAGACGCAAAAAGCATGCTAAAAGCGATGAATTGACATGACTAAAAAAGCAAGAGGTGACAAAAAGAGAGAGGTTTTGATGGTGTCCTGAGTATTTAAACTGGGCTTTTGGCCACATCCCAAATGGTGTTTTGACCAATTAGACGCTTTCTTTGCTGGGGGTGTTGCATATTTCTCCTCCCAATTCATAAATCAAAATGTTATCTCATCAGGCACATGGTCCGAGTTTTCCCGCTCTTGCAGAGTATACTTTTGGACATGATTTCTATAACAAGAATATGATACATTTGACAAAGAATTGATTGGAAGAAACATTTAAAGCAAGAAGATTCAAACACACACATACTAAACATGAATATGAACCCTTAAGCTATTCAATAGTTATTCAAAATACATACACAATAAATGATTAAGACCTGATAGTCACACATGTGGGTTACATACATAAT